AAGCGTTGTAACTTTCAATCCAACAACAATTAGCCCGGGAGAAGAGCTGTACATTAACATTCCTAAATTAAAGCCCGACTCTTGTTTAGTTCCAGGGTTACTTGCACTATTATTTGACTTCAAAAATTCCAATACAAAGAGCAGATTCAATAATAACCTAGCTAAGTTGATTGCAAAACGTCTTCAGGTTAAAGTAGCTGGTGAAACAGCTTATGACTGTTCAGGAGAGAGTTTGTACGAAATTTATAAAGACCTATGGCTAACACAGGGTGATAGAAATAAGATGACAGAACAGGGCCTCGGAAGTGAAAACCTGAGAAAGCTAATATCAGGTGACGACTCAGGTGTAAAGGTAGGTGATGTTGGTAAAGTGGCAGATGGACTTCTCCACAGTGTATACGGCTCCAAACTTAGAAAACCAATTGATAAGATTATCGCAGACCATGGACTCTACGTACCATTCTACATGAACAACAATCCTATGTACATTCTCACACTACCCGGATCAGATGAAATTATGACGGCTCAAGGAGGTGAAGCTAAGGGTAATTATAAACTTGATAACCTCGAGTTAGAATATGAGACCATTGAGAGTGACACCCTTGCAGGTGAAGTATCAAGGATGTATTCAACAGGTCGCTCACTATCCTACAAACACGTCACTCTCATGCGCACAAGTAACTGGGACAAAGATCTTACCATTGTCAATGAAAACATAAATATCCCCAGAAAGAGCATGTCAGCAATTGTCCTTCTATTTACCAATAGAGTGAGAACCAATTCTGAAGAATATATTTACCCAAACATTGATAAAGTGAACCTAACCATTGAAGGTGTGCCCAATGCAGTTTTTTCACAAGGACTTCCTAAAAGTAGGTTCTTCGAAGAGGCAAAACGATTCTTCTGCCCTATGTGTGAGAAATCAATGGCAGATGAATTTATGTCTATTAGCAGGTTCTTCAGCAACGGTTTCGCTTTAGTAGTAGATCTAAGGTCAACACAGGATGACACCACTGGAGGAGGTAGAAAGATTGTTAACACGCAGTCTGGAGTACTTATGGAAATTAATAAAAGAGCCACAACAGCAGATGTTCAGTGCAACATTTTTGTTGTATCAGATGCTCTACTTAACTTTGCTAGTAGAGATCTATCTAGTATTCAATACTAGCTGCGCTAGCAGTGACTACTGACGTAGTCGGTATTAGAATCCACACATATGGTAAAGCATAGAGATGAATCTAGAGCCACCATTTAATATGCTCATAGTAGGAATGACTGGAAGTGGTAAGACTCAGTTCTTACTTAATATGTTAGAAATAGAGTACAATAAAGTTTTCGATTACATTGTTATTATATGTCCAACAATAGAATGGAATATGACTTACATTAACTGGGCTCATATTAGTGATCATGGAGTCATACAAATTCCATGTTCACAAGAAATGATCAATCTAGTTCTGAAGGCAGTGGCCACCATATTCCGCGGAACCCAGACTCTCATTATAGTGGACGATTGTGCAGCAAGTCAAGATGTTAAGAAAAGAGTCTCGGAACTGGTGCGCCTAGCATTCTCCGCAAGACATTACAATATATCTGTCATTGTAATTACTCAACAACTGTCATCAGTAGCAAAACCATTTAGGGAGAACATTTCTAGGTTAGTTACATTTTATAACCCTAGTCGCAGAGATATGAAGGTTATAACAGATGATTACCTAAGTGGAGTCCCTCAGGAGACAATTACAGAGATTACGAAAATACTAAAAGATGAGAAGTTCACCGCACTAGATATACTACTTATTCACCCTTACACATACACTATCAAACAAAACACCGCGTAATATATAGAAGATGGGATCGGAATCTGATGAAGAAATATCTGCAGCTGTGAGGGAAGTAGAAGAGGCCGCAAAGACACCGCAAAAGAAAGCTAAGTCTACCGCAAGAAAAACTAGGCCCACCGCAGATAAGTCGCAAACTGAAAGTAAAAGAGACAAGCTTATCGAGCTATCTAGGGATGGTGTAATCGATAAGACCGCAAGTTTCATAAGAAAGTCCAACAAAGATGTTATAGATAAACTTTACAGTGAGTATGAAAGTCAGAGGATGTTATGCGCAAGTGAATTCTTATCAACACTTATTATCTCAAAGTTTGCTTCCATACTAGGAAGTTTTAATGCGGTGGAATCTTCTGAGAAGCTGTCAGAGGAACTACTTAGTGATAAGCTTTTAAAGGATGACGTATGTTATTTAACTAGAATGATATCCCCAAACATTCCATTCATAGGTCTCATATCAGGTGGATGCACAACAGCTAAGCACGTGGTTGCTCACAAGTGGAATAAGAAGGGAAAGACTGAGGAAATATCTGAGGAAGCAAAACAAATCTTATTACATAGTGAAGAAGAATGTCAGACCACGAGTGGGGGAACGCCTGGGAAGGAACAGAGTTCGAAGACATAATTAACGAATTGATTGAGAAAACCAATAGGAGCATGGAAAAGATAGATAGGATTGGGAAGAAAGTTGACGCAATTGAGAGGGACTTATATGCACTTAGGAATAAGGTCATACTACCTCTCCAGAATGACTACTACAACTTTAAGGATGACACAGTTAAAACAGTAATAAAGATATACAAGAACCTTCATGGAGTATAGTATTTTATTTGCTAGGGGATGTACATAATAGTCGGAGCAGTTGGGTGGGTAGAGGGAATGCTGCTTCATAAATCAAGATTAAATAGCCATAAAATAGGCCCAGGAATTTTTACATATATAGTATAGAGAAAGATGGAAAAACTATTCAGAAACCGAGAGTTGAATGTTAGCGTAAGAACTGTGAGGTTGGGTGAGGAGATACTGTTTTATGCAAAAGATGTGGCAGAATCTCTAGGGTACGCAGATACGAAGAAGGCAGTTCAGAAACTAGTTAGGAAGCAAAATAAGGTAAGCGTATATGAGCTATGCAAGGGGGGCGATTCGCCTCCCTTCGGAAAATGTCACCCACACGAGCTATGCAAGGGGGGCGATTCGCCTCCTCAGTTCACAATTTTACTTTACGAACCTGGTTTGTACCAGTTAATATGTAGCTCAAGGCTCCCAATAGCAGAGGACTTCCAGGAGGTGGGTATTCAAGGAGGTTCTTCCATCTATCCGCAAAACAGGCTCGTATGAATTACCAGATAGAAGGTCACTTAGATATAACCAAATGATCCTTATAAATGAGACGGACCTTCATAATGTTATTGTAAGTTACATTAGAGATAACTACCCAAAGGCCATAATATTACCTGGTCTAAGTGAGTATCAGGATACTGTGTCAAAAAGATGTGATGCCTGGAAGAAGGGATATAAAGGTGGTCAACCAGATCTTATCATAGAGAATCCTATGGGAAAGTACAAAGGATTTGCTATTGAATTTAAGTCTCCCAAGGGCACCGGAGTTATAAGTGAGAATCAGGATATATGGTTTAGGAAATTGAGGGGAATAGGGTACATGACAATGGTATCAGATGATCTGGTACAGACTTGTATTAGAATCAACGAGTACTTCTCACTTAAGAAAACTGTAAGGAAAGTTGCAGTAAGAAATTCAACTTGCGACGTGAAGACGTACAGACCAAGGTTTAATTCAGGTAAGTTTTGAGACATCTCACAAACAGATTTAAGTTATCTCACCAGTTATCTCACCAGTAGATTTAAGTTATCTTAGAAGTAAATTTGAGACATCTTACAAACAGATTTAAGTTATCTCACAAGTAGAATTTAAGATGTCTCATAAGACTAAACCCAGTTAAACCTAAGGTATCTTACAAGTATAATGGAAGATAAACCTGAGCAAATCCAAGCACAAGTAACAAGTGAGAAGAAGAAGGACCCGAAGAGAGTAGCGGCAGGAAAACGATTAGCTGCAATCAGCAAAATAGCAAAGGAGAGGAAAAAGAAACTTGCAGAACCTAAGGAGCCTTCAAGTAATGACAGTATGATTACCTACATAGGAGTGGCCATTGCACTGGTATCTCTAGTGCTAGCATTCAAGTCGCATCAGAGGGAAACCAGGGAACCGGAACCCAAGCACGCAACTGAGACTGTCGAGATAACCAGGGAAGCTGATGCGTCCAAGCTAGATTCACTTGAATGATACATTAAACATAATATATATTATAACAAGATGAGTAAAGAATCAAAGATGACGAAGGAAGTGTACGACGCAGTGTTACTCACAGCAGGAGCAATCGGTATTTCAATGGCATCAAAGAAACTATTAAAAGAACCATTAGGCACCCCAGAGAATGTAAAAGGAATGGCAAAGTTAGCTGTCTCAGTTAGCCTTTCATCTCTACTGGTATCTTACCTGAAAGATAAGAAGTATCTACCAGATGATCCATTCAAAACCTAGGTAAGACTATACAATGGCAGCAACAGTAGCGGGAGGACTATTTAACACATTTGCATTTGCGGGAGCAGGGTTCTTATTTAAAATGTTTGACAAGAACGGATATGCTAGGGAAGCCCATAGACATAACATTGCAATGGAGAACCTAACAGCTGAAAGAGAGAAGTACCTTGAAGAAGTCACTGATAGGAGAAACAGACTTGCCCAATTAAGGTCAGAATTAGCTGAGGCAAATAGGGATATTAATGCAACAAACAAATCACTGGAACTCGTTAGAAGAATCAATGAGTTAACACGTATGGCTATGCCAAGGAGGCCGCAGTTAAGCAATCACTACAAACCTAGCTCTGAGATGGAAGAATATATGGCAATCTTCAGTTTAATTATAGGTGGGGTGGTTGGAGGGGCAGCTTACTTAATTCTATAAAAATACGGTAATTTTCTTTTGCATATATAATATAGAGAAATGGATTGGCTTGCAATGGTAGACGTTGACGAAGTGGTAGCCTTGGGAAAAAGGGTGGACACCATAGAAGAACTAGAGGCTGCAGTTAAAAAATATGTGGAATGGCGAATAATAAGGAGGCGTAAAAACAAACCACAAAAACAAGCAGAAAATTTTAACACATATAGTATAGGGGATGGACTGGCTGACACTGGTAACACCTGATGAAATGGAACGAGTTGGTAAGAAAGGCGAACACCATTGAGGAGCTAGAGGCTGCAGTGATGAAATACGTGAGAAATAAAATGAAGGTCAAACATACATACGAACCAGTATGCAGTGAATGTGGTAGTAAGTCAATTGTAATGATAGACGGAGCAGATACATGCACACGTTGCGGAACTAGTGCTATGAACAACTTCACATACTACGTTAGTTACAATCACAATAAGGACGACTACCTGAAAAAGAAATCGTCCCATAATAGAGTCCGTTGGTTTGAGAGACACTTATTCGAGCATGTTGCTTCCGGGGATAGGGACACTATACGGGAGCAGTTTAGAAGCATCGTAAGATGTATACAAAGACTTAGACTGCAACGGGGGCGCAACATAGTTAGATATAAGTTTTACCTACTGAGGATAGCCAGCATGAACAACATCATGTTGAAAAACCCACATTAAGACTCAAAGAATTGTGAACATCCTTGAGGACAGACTATATGGAAAGGTTTTCCCCGAGTTGGGATGGAAACCTATAAATTGTAAATATTATAATAACTGGAAATCCAAACATAAATAAAATATTAAATAAAAATTAAATTACTAAATAAAATTATTAAATTACTAAATAAAATTATTAAATAAAAATTAAATTATTAAATAAAATTAAATTATTAAATAAAAATTATTAATTAATAAATAAAAATAAATAATTAAATACAAAATTAAATAGGCCTTTAAATAGACCTATTTTTTTTTACCTATAGTATATAGAGAAAGAGTGAAAAATGGCGACAAACTTTGACATGAACAACATGACCGTTGAACAACTTATGGCACTTAGCGAGATAGTTGATGATAGCGATTATGAGGGAAATTTCGAGGATGAAGTCGAGAGAATATCTGAGGACAAATTCTATCGAGTTGCACCTAAGGATAAGGGCAAAGATCCCTTTGAAGGAGAAAGACAATTCATAGATGAAGGTGACCGTTCTACCGACCCAAAGAGACCAAGAAGACGCCCACTAAATGAGAAGGTTGAGAGAGGTATAATGCCAACATGGAAATATTCCGAGAGACAGAAGGCAAAGGCTTTACTAGTCGAGGAGGCATACCAGAGCTTACTTAGTAGAGGAGTTGACGGCCTGCCACCAACAATGGGAGGTAGATGGAGAACGGATGATCCTCAGGTAAATGCGGAGATGAAGAGGTTAGAGAACCTTAGGAACCCCAAGCGTCCAAGAGGCAGACCACCAAAGGCTAAGGCTGACGGTGTTGCTAAGGCTCCCAGAGGACGACCGCAAAAGGTTAAGTCCGACGCTGAGGTTGTGATTCCAAAGAGACGTGGAAGACCACCAAAGGCTAAGTCTGACGCTGAAGTTGTAATTCCAAAGAGACGTGGAAGACCACCAAAGGTTAAGGTATCTGAAACAATAAAACCTAAGGTTAAAAGACAGACTGTTGCGGAGAGGTTCATAAGTCAAAACCGAATAAAACTCTCAGTTCCCGCGGATAGCGTGATAACTCAGGTGGGACCAAATAAGTTCACGGTGACTGTGGATCTTAGTAAGAAACCGACAAGGAAAGCTCCTGAGGTGCCGAAGGGTGTGGCTTCATGGAAACCTACTCCTAAGCCGAGAACTGTAATTCCCAGGGAAAGACCAATTCCCAAACCTAGAACTGTAATTCCTAGGGAAAGACCAGTTCCCAAACCCAGGACCAAAAAGACCGTGCCTCCTCTAAAGTTAAGGAAGCCTGCAAAGGTAATGAAGGAAGTTGGGGAACAGCCTGTAGTGGTCGCACCAGAGGAACACGAAATTGATCCATTTGGAACATACCTTGAGAAGCCATCCTATAGGAAAATAGAAACTGCCGCAAATGGTGCAGCTGTGACTTACTCGATAACTCCAAATTATATGGATCCCCTGGACCAGATGACTGCAAGTAGGCAGGTGGTGAGGGGAATATTAGTGAACGAGTTGAAGAGAATGGGAGGTCTAAAATATACGGAAACAATTAAGGTAAGAATGTCAAAGGAAATTGGAAATAACAAAACTAAGAAGGATTCAATATACTTCAAATCAAAAACAGGAACTGCAACCAACTTTGAGGATATCGAAAGCACTGCAGCTCAAAACCAACTGACCATTTTATCCAGAATTGAAACCTTCCAGAACTTAGGTTCAAATTGGATTATTCTGAACATTGAAAGTCATTATGTTAATATTGCAATGTACAAACCTCTAAAGGGTAGTTCATATATGAAATTACCTGCAGACATTAGCAATCCAAAATGTGGACTTATAAATATGCAAAATGATGACAATAAATGCTTCATGTGGAGTCATTTAAGACACGTAAGACCAAGAGCAAGAAGGGCAACAACAATAACAAAGCAGGATAGGGAGTTCGCGGTGAACCTGGACTATGAAGGTATTGACTTCCCTGTAAAGATAAGCGACATTGATAAAATTGAGAGAAAGAACTCAATAAGCATTTCAGTGTTCGGTTATAAGGGCAAAAAGCAGTTCTACCCAATCAGGAACTCTAAGACAAAATATGACGAACATATGGAGTTGCTGCTGTTAGGCGACAACAATGGTGGTAATCATTATGTTCTAATAAAAGATGTAAATAGAATGCTCTTCAGTGTTAGCGGTAACTCGAACAAGAAACACTTCTGCTTATATTGCCTCCATAGTTGCGTTAGTGAAGAATCGTTGAAGAAACATAGTGAGACATGTATAAGTGTAAATGGAACTCAGGCCACGAAGCTTCCAGACGAAGGTTCAAAAATAAAGTTCGGTCACTATAGAAATTCAATGCCTGCCCCATTTGTAATCTATGCTGACTTTGAGTCTATGCTTGTTCCTGAGGAAAGAAAAGTGGAATCTGAAGGCACTGAGGAGAAGAGTTCAACAGAGCTTTACCAGACACACAAAGCTTGCAGTTTTGGGTTGAAAACAGTGTGTCATTATGATGATCAGTACTCAGGTGAATGTATGAGTTACGTTGGTGAAGACGCTACACTGGTCTTCTTGAAGACAGTTCTAAAGGAATCTATCAGGTGCCGGGAAATGGTGAATAAGATCTTCAAGAAAAAGATGGTAATTACCCCAGAACAAGAAGCTGAATTCTGGATGACAAGAAACTGCTCCATCTGCGGCTGTGACTTAGGTGATGACAGAGTCAGGGACCATGATCATGTAACTGGACTGTTCCGTGGAGCTGCTCATAATATGTGCAACTTGAAATACAGAATTACATGGAAAGTTCCCGTGGTCTTCCATAATCTAAGAGGTTACGATAGCCATCTAATAATGCAGGAGATTGGTAAGTTTAAGATGAACATTAACGTGGTTCCAAATAACATGGAAAAATACATTTCCTTCTCACTTGGTAAAAGTCTTGTGTTCATTGACTCAATACAATTCATGGCTTCTTCCCTGGAAGCACTTGTGAGTAACCTTTCACCTGAAGACTTCAAGATAGTCGGTCAGCGGTGGCAAGGTGAGGACTTCGATCTTGTGAGACAGAAAGGTATATTTCCATATGAATACTTGGATGACATAAGCAAGCTTGACACTGAGGGACTTCCAAGTAAAGACAAATTCTACTCATCTCTATACGAGTCTGAAGTGAAAGAAGAAGATTACCAGAGAGCTCTAAAAGTTTGGGATCACTTTAAGATGAAAACGATGCGGGACTACCACGATCTCTACCTGGAGACTGACGTTCTTCTTCTAGCAGATGTTTTCGAGAATTTCAGAAAGACCTGCCTGGAAAATTACAAGCTTGACCCTGCTCACTACATCTCAGCACCTAGTCTAAGTTGGGACGCATTCCTAAAACAGTCAGGTGAGGAAATAGAATTGGTAAGCGATATGGATATGTTCCAGTTCTTTGAGAAGGGAATGGGAGGTGGGGTAAGTCATATTGCTCATAGACACTCCACAGCGAATAATAAGTATATGGAAACGTACGACAAAGACGCTGAAAACAAGTTCCTTATGTACCTCGATGCCAACAATTTATATGGCTGGGCGATGTCTCAACCTCTGCCTAATGGAGAGTTTGAGTGGATCGAGGAAGTTGACAAAATAAATATTGATGACTACTTAGGAGACAGTGGAAGGGGTATGGTTCTTGAGGTTGATATGGAATATCCAGAAGAACTTCACGACCTACATAACGGTTATCCTCTTGCTCCAGAAAGTAAGGAGATTGATGTGTCAATGTTATCAGATTATGCTAAGGATATTGCTGATAAATTCCAGCTGACAATTGGAGGTGTAAGAAAACTGGTGAACTCCTTAGGTCCCAGGAAGAATTACGTTCTACATGTTAGGAATCTGAAACTCTACATGGAACTCGGAATGAAACTTACAAAGGTTCATAGAGCAGTCTCCTTCAAGCAGTCAACTTGGCTGAAAAAATATATTGACTTTAATACTCAAAAACGATCGGCTGCTAAGAATGCGTTCGAGAAAAACTTCTTCAAGCTCATGAATAATTCCATTTATGGAAAGACTATGGAGAACTTGAGGAAGAGAGTTGATGTGAAGTTGGTGTCGTCGGAAAACGATCTCCTTAAACTAACTACGTCTCCATGCTTCCAGTCACATAGAATTATGAATGAGAGCCTGATCGTGGTAAAGAGATTGAAGGAAGTCCTGACTCTGAACAAGCCGTGTTATGTGGGAATGAGTATCCTAGATTTATCCAAGACTCTAATGTATGACTTCCACTACAACATGATCAAGAAAGAATATGGTGACAAGTCAAAGCTCCTCTTCACGGACACTGACAGTCTCATGTACGAGATCAAGACTGATGACGTGTACGAGGACTTCAAGAGGATCGGTGAAGAGAAAGATTGTTGGGACAACTCAGATTATCCAAAAGATTCCCCGTATTACTCAGCTCATAATAAGAAGGTAATTGGAAAGTTTAAGGATGAAGCTGAAGGAGTACCAGTGATTGAATTCGTAGGGTTAAGGTCAAAGATGTACTCTTATGTGAAGGAGAGTGGTGGAGGTGGAATGACAGCTAAAGGTGTGAAGAAGTATGTGATCAGGAATAAACTCACTCACGAAAACTTCAAGAACGTAATTAAGACTAAAGGTAGAATGAGACATAAGATGAACACAATCAGAAGCATCAAACATAAAATTGGAACTTACCAGCTAAAGAAAATCACACTCAGCTGTTTCGATGACAAGAGATACCTACTTGAAGATGGTGTTACAAGTTACGCGTACGGGCACCACTCAATAGGAGATCTAAAGGCTGAGGTGGTGATTGAAGAAAAAGTGGAACCAAGCTGGGTACCAGAAAGGGTTGAAACTCAGAGTGAATACTGTAGACTCGAGGAAGCAGTAGAACTTTACGAAGGCCCTCCTTGGGAAGACTTAGGACCACGGGAAGAAAAACATATTCCCAGACCAGAATACAAAGTTGTGATTCCACGGAAGAGATACAAGTTTAAGAAACGGACACTGTTGAGGGTAGTTGTAACTGATGAGAATCATCTAAGGAAAAACTATGACATACTACTGAAAGATGAAAAGGAATATCTAAAAGTGGTGCTGCAAGAGAAATTTAGATCATTGGGTATCGCTACGGTTATAACCCCTGGAAGCAATAAGATTACCCTAATTGGATACTAGGAGAAATAGAGAATTGGAGATTGGATGGAAGTCGACTGAAAATAATAGAAAAAAAATGAGGTAAAAAAGACCAGAAAAAATGGTCTAGAAAAATATGAGCCCGCGTTTCTGGGGGAAAATATGGAAACCGCTAACCGGAAGTTGGGTGAGATCGCGGGCCGAAAAAGTGGTCTAGAACCCTCATTCCCTATACTACTCATTGCTTCCATTCATCTCAACGCATCGTTTTCAACGGCCATCGTTTTCATCAATGGCCATCGTTTTCAACAAGACAACAATCCGAAGCATACGAGCAACCTAGCGAAATCCTTCTTTGAGGAAGAAGCGGTAAATTGGTGGAAAACACCGCCAGAGAGTCCAGACCTCAACCCCATCGAACTTGTGTGGCATGAACTTAAGCATCATCTGAGAACAATTGTCAAACCAAGAACGAAGGATGCTTTAGTTGACGGCATTACCCAATTTTGGGCTGAAGTAATGACTGTTGAAAAATGCAAAAGATACATTAATCATGTAAAAAAAGTTTTGCCAATTGTAGTCGAACGTGAAGGACGTGCATCAGGTTGTTAAATGTGAACCTCTTATATAGTCTTATATTAAATACACAGTAATTGTAACGATTAATGTAAATATTGCAATATTCTTATACGGGTCTTATAATATTCCGAAAATACATTATTTTAATTAGTAATATATAGATGAAAAAAATTAAAAACATCTACCTTTATTTTTATCTTTGTTTTTACTAATTTGAGTTCAGTTTACATTTTTGCTGTCAATTTTTAGGGCTGCATACAGTTGGGTCAAATCTGCATCTTGGCCCATCTTGTATTCTTTGGCAAATCTTGGTTAAAATACAGTGGCCCACAAGTGCAATACACACAACTCAATTCCACTACACAAAACAAAATTCCACTACACAAAACAAAATTCACGATACACAAAACTCAATTCCACAACACAAAACTCAATTTCGCTACACAAAACAAAATTCCACTACACGAAACAAAATTCCACTACACAAAACAAAATTCACGATACACAACTCAATTCCACTACACAAAACTCAATTCACAAAACACAAAACTAATATAATACGACGCTCGCGAGACTACGTGGGAACTCGCGGGAATTCGCATGACCACGTTTTCTTAATATTCCGCCATTTTGTGCTGTCACTCATAAACAAACCTTTAATAATATAAAGTAAACGTAATATTTGGAAATAAAACGACAAATTATGAAGATTAAGTGCAAGAATTGTGACTCAGAAGTCTCAGAGGGTTTCCAATTTTGTCCAAAATGTGGAAAAACATTGACCGACATGGATACCAACGCATCCAAACCCCGACGTGCTTGCGATGCATTCGAAAAGTTCAAAGCCAAAAAAAGTCAGCAACGTGCAACATTCTTTCGTGGAAAAACAAAAAATACTGCCCAAAAAGACAAAGATGTGATAATCAATATCGGGGTTATGAAGTATGACCGTTATTGTGCAGATTCCTCAACTGCCTATACGCCAATGAGGGGAAAATCATTGCCGCTGAAAATAAACAAAGACGCAAATTACGCTCAACTTTTGATAGCAGCATTGACAAAAAGAAAGGCATATGATCAGTCGTTCAATGAGAAGCTGGACTGGGATATTGTGTACCCAGATGGACAGAGTGCGTCAAGTTTACCAGGGCAACCTGATACACCTTTTTGCCTTAGTACCTATAAGGAGGATCTTGGAAAGAATTATTCCAGAATAGTTTTATATCTCTGCACAGAAAATTCAGATGAAAACAATGAGAGTGTTGAGGAAGATACATTCGATCGTATTGGTACGTCATGTAGTGATGGCAAGGAATCACAGTCAAATGAGTCAATCGATATGGAAAGTAGAGAAGAAATGGGAAACAACAAGTAAGTTATTCCTTATTTTCCAAATATAGAATTCATAGACATAGTCCCTACAAAGTCCAAACCTTCTTGTAAGTCTTGTAATATTCCATCTGTCAATGGAAAACCTTGAATGGTTGTCAAGTTGTCATGTAAGCATACAGGGGTTTTGGGGTCAGCAGCCTCCATTTTCTCAGTAAGTGTCATGTATGATATTAATGGTCAATAAACAAGTCTGCAAATTGTATTATTCTTACACTTACCTACACAGGCACACAACATTCAATATATTATCATTTGTATTTTTATGCACAAAATTTTATGTTTTGGCTTTGGGTAGGATATTTAATTAAATTCTGACTAAAGCTATTGTACACTGTATCCTGTGTTGCTGAAAGAAGCACATTTCTTTCATTATTATCATTATTATCATTGTTTTAATTAAGGAGTGAAGTTAGTCACGTGAGCACAAGTGTTGACAGAGACTCGTCCAACACAGTTACATCTGTCCAAGAAATGTCACCAATGAATCATGGAGAAGGACCAAGCACATCAACAATGAACCCAACTGGAGATTTTGATTGGTTGTATGCATCATGGTTGTGTGATGAGGTAGATCTTGCTGGTTATGAAAGCATGAGTGATGTGGAAATGGAAGTAGGCCCAAATGACAATCAGTCTTCCAATTCCCAGCATTCCACAGTGTCACTACCTGATATACTTAAAAAACTATCCAGTGTTATTAATCAGCATTCCACAGTGTCACTACCTGATATACTTAAAAAACTATCCAGTGTTATTAATTTAGATTCAATATCAAAATTCAACATTAGTCGCAGCCATGTATGGGAGGGGACAGTAAGAGCTCTAACAAGAAAATCCTTTTCACCCCATAATAAGGTTTCTGTCAAGTTTTGCGATGATGTTGGTACATCAGAAGGGGCCATAGATTTGGGGGGACCCAAAAGGGAATTTTTTACCTTGGTTCTAGATTGGTTAATGCATTCACAGCTTTTTTGTGGCAGTGATAGTTCTAAGTACTTTTCATGTAATGCTACCTCTCAAGGTAACAATGACTATTTCCATGCTGGAGAAATAGTAGCAATGTCTCTTGTTCATGGAGGTCCTGGTTTTGGGTGTCTCTCACCAAGTCTTTATCAGTGCATTGTGGAAGGCCCTAATAATGTTCTTGTCAATGTGAGTGATGTATATATGATGTTGAATTAAGATGTTCTTTAGAAAAAATATTTAATGCCAAGAGTACTGATGAGGCAAATACAATGATAGACAAGCCTCCTCTAAATACACTCTTAGATCTTGCAGGAACTTTCAAATTTGTGTCATCTTTGGATGAAATCCCAACACTAGTTCAGCAAACTGTTAAATGGTTCTTACTTGGCAGGTCACATTTTTCACAAGAGCAATTTGTACAAGGGCTGTCTGTGTTAGGAATTTATGATTCTATCTTAAAGAATCCTGAATCATTCCGCCCAGTTTTTTGCTACTCGCCTCAGCAACTTAATGCTGAAATCATTTCGCATCTGTTTGAAACTAATTTTAGTGAGGTTGGCTCTAATCAGCATTGCTCTGAATCACTGGTCATATCACATTGGAATGATTATTTGTTGGATGTTGAAGAGAGGGCAGAAACGGAGGTCACATTCAATGATATTCTGTTTTTTGCTAGTGGATGTAAAATTATACCACCATTTGGTATAAAACTGTCTTTAGAGTTTCTACATCATGCTGAAAAAAATGGTGAAATGTCCAAATTCCCAAAGGCTAACACATGTGCTTGCATTCTTTATTTACCTGTCACCCACAGCTCATATGATAAGTTCAAAGAGGCCCTTTCGTTTGCATTTCTTAACACCCGTGGGTTTGGTGAGCCATAACCTAGCAGAGTATCAACATTTGAAATTGCAAACTTACAAACTTGAATAGTTACATAGCAAACATACAAACTTGAATAGTTACAGTTTCCAGACATTGATATTGTATAGAGTAGTTATGTATTAGTTATCATACAGTATTATTATAATAATACCTTGGAACTTGGTAGCTGTACAATATTGTACTGCAGTGAACATGGGTGGTGTGGTGCCAATACAAATCAAGAGACAAAAAAGCCTGATATTTATATTTTTATGTATTGTAGGTCTCAGTTTTTTTTGTAGCAGTTCTAATCATTGTCGTGCTACTGGGTACAATGAGAATCTCAGATGAACACAATGAGAAACAAAAGTTTGAGTTAATGACACTTTCAAATAAAATTGAGTTCTTGTTGAGGTTTCAACAGATGTTTTGACCACTAAGCCTCATTTTTGTTATAATGGTAACATGCAAGTGAACAGGAAAGGTTTGGTGGTAAGAACACTAACTTGCTTGTGAAAAACCCCCATAAGCTTAGTCAACCTCTTAGCCAGGGCCTGCCCGCCCTATAAAATCAGGCGGGTAATCCCTGGGTACGAGATTGAAGCTTAGCCCCATTCTTTCTGGAAATATGCCATGCCACTTTATCTAATTACTTTACATAATTTGTAATATGTTTAGTTGTTCATATTTGTTAAAGATTTCTCTTAAAATAAAGGTCATGTCGTACCATGTTGACACAGGCGGTGTGCGCACTGCGACCGCAATGCATTATTTTGGATATTTTCTTAAAGATGGCGGATTTCTAGCACGATTAAAGGTATGTTGGCGCTCTATTTTCTGCCACGTTTTAAAGTTTAAACTTTTTGTTTTTTATTAAAAAGGAAGTTACATGTAATATTGTTGTGCCGTGTTACTTTTCAAATCGATAATTTTTGGAATTCGATAAAAAATATCATTTGATTGTAAACTCGTGTATTTTTGCCAAATACACTGGTCCATTTACTTTTACATGTCACAGCTTAACCGTTCACACATCACATTTAAAATTGCAATTGGCATAATCTATGACCATTATTTGTGACCATATTTAATAGCGCCCCTTGGCGCCCCTCAATATTGTATATTTTTTGGTCTTTTATCTCATGATATTTCCTTTGCTAATTTCAGGTCTTCTTGTCCAGAGTTCATGTTCTCCCGCTATTTTGGGGAAGCGTTCGTGCATCCCAGAGTCCCATACGCCAGGCAAACAAAAAACAAAGCGGCAACGAAATAATAAACGCAAAAGAGAAGCAAAAAAAAATTTCAAATGGAAAAAATAATTGTGTCAAAATGAGCAAGACACAATACACAATACACAATGGCAGACTGTTGGACAACCGAAGAACAGACTTAATGGGACTGTTTCATATTTGACAGGATCAATGACTGTCTGGTGGTGAAAAACCATTTGTGCTTGTTGGAACCGTTTCTTGTAGTCAGTTGGAGCAAATGGCAATGACTGGAACACGTTTAAATAATTTTTGTTCTCACAAGCAATTTTCTTAGCCTTATTTATGCCAATACCTCGGATATTTTCTATGTAGTCACAACCAGCTGCAATACACATATCAGTAAACTTTTCCTTGGTTAATTTTAGATGTGTTAAAATTTTTGCCATTTCCACCAAGTTACCCATACCATTTGTTTGTAGCTTAAATAGCACCTGAAATATATGACATGTATACTGTAGTCCACATTGCTGCAAAATGCCTTACCTACGGATGTAATAATACAGATAGTGTCTCGCACAAATAGTGTACAGCATTATACCTGGGCATTCACCAAGTCAATGTTGAAAATAATAGTTCTGTGTAAATTTTACCCCACCCAGGCCAGCCGATATTTAGAAGCAGGACACCCATGTCAACAGTTTCACACAGTGTATTAATTATGTTATGGTATGAACTACTTTGCATATGTATTTGAACTGCCAGGCTGACCTGGTTCCCAATCTGATAAAACTTTCTCCCTATAAACACAAACTGGGCTGGTGTGGATGGAAGTTCTATGAATGCTGCTGTGAGTTATGTAGAAAAACTGTTAAAACACTGTAAACCCACTACACTTGTGCTGTTTATAAAGCATATACAATCACAACAAATTTGTTATTCATATATTTTATAACACTTCATTGAACAATGTTTTACTAAGTCTATACCTGCATACATGACCACTATCATCGAAATGCAAACAAAAACATCCCATTTTATACAACAATTATTATACAACAACATGCTAGAATCCATGTATTAGCATTAACATCACACTGATATAGAGCATTTGCACATGACGTCACAGCCGCCATGTTGGTGTTCCAATTCAAAATAATTTTAATTAGACTCTTGTCTGGAACACCAACATGGCCGCCGTGGCTTTTGTTGAGTTGGTCCCTGGGGAATGAGTGCAAATGCTCTATACAAGCAGGTCCTAATCTTAACACACTGCAAAACCACAGCCTCAAATCAAAGTGCTTGGGGACAAGGCTGGCAAAACCAGCATATCCATTATTCACAATAAATGCAATTTCTGGATCTGCTTCATATGGTGCCATTATGTACTATCTTTTTCACAGCAAAGCTGAAAGGTGGATAATAACAAATTGTTATTTACTGCACACAACTACTTTCCAATTTACTCTATAATTTTTTATGCATTTGTACATAAAAAGGGTGTCGTTGAAAAATGGGAATTTGAATTTTGCAAAATAAATTGATCAAATGTCAGATTAGCAATGTATTGGCATGGATTATAAATTGTTGTGACATTCCTGTGCACCAATAAAATGTAAATTCTGGGGAGGGGTATGGGCAAGGTGTGAGGATTTGGATTTTTTTTTAATTTTGGGTAAATTCTAGTGAGTGGAAGGCATACAAAGTTCTTGAAAACTAGATGTGAAAACTAGTATGTGGTTCAATTTAAACCACATCATTTTTCTTACTCTCCATATATTGTTATGCAAAGCGTTTTCCTGCCAGCTGCAAATTGCCATTGCAATGACCTTTTATTACTTAGATGCTATTTATATGACCTTGGATACTAGAGACACCCAATCCACACGAGACAACTTCACTGCATGTTTATATGAAAAAAATTTATAGCCCTGGCACTGTATCTCTTCCTACGAGAATGGCTCTAAGTATGAGATTGTGACTCCTGAAACATGCAGTTATTTGTTTGAAGGCCTGGGAATGAAAAGTTATCCCTGGAGGCCGAGACAAACTATTTACATGGACAAAAGTTGTCCCTCCTACAAGGGTAACCCTGTTTTGTAAACAGGGTGTCCCTACTGCCAGGGTGACCCTACCAGCCGAGACGAAAACTTTCCATATAAACACTTGCGTTTAAATGTTATATAATGAATATAATTTTGCCTCTCCCAACCCGAGATCATATAAACAGCACCTCATCTCTTTTCAATGTTGCATTATATTTACAATATTTGTGATACCAAAAATTGAATTGGCATGGCATATATGATTTTCATCCCATAGTTTTTAGGTAAGATTGTGTAGTCAAACTATAGAAATTGTGACCTATGATGGCATTAGAAGTGCTAAAATGATGGGCAAATTCTAAGCATAACTAAAATTACATGGAATTTTACAGATACTGTACTGAGCATATAACTGGCTTGTATGAATTGTATATTGCATTAAATTAAACAATATAATGTTGCAGAAAAATTTCCGTGTCTATGCATACTTTTACCGTATGTCCACAACCCTGAAAAGTTTGCATAATAATTATAATAACAATACAGTCATAAGAACAATAAAGTAAATAGAATATACATAAGTTTAGCGATTGAAACACTGCACAAATTGATAAGTAAACATATAAATAAAAACATACTTGCGATCATCGCCAAATCTTTGAAACTCACAGCCAACGCTTTGTGCAGCCAGCAGGATGCATCGACTGCACAATCTTTTCCAGAAGTTCTTTGACATGTACTGCCACTGTTGATTCTTTCAAGAAGGGCAAAAGACACTTTTAATATACCCATCGCTCGGCCGTGCACAGTGTTTTCACCTCGAACGTCAGAACGCAAATGAGTGAATTTTTTATTTTACTCATGATGCATTGCGGTCGCAGTGCGCACACCGCCTGATGTTGACATAAAGAATGCTTTTTGTTGTCCCGTTTTAACCAGTTAATGGCCGGAGGCCATTGACCAATAGCAGAGGGAGGAGAGATGACGAACAATGCTCCACACTGATGAGTTTCAGATGTAATAATTTCATTGGTTTGTCTATTTTAAGTTTTGGTTAATGTTTGATGACTTTGGTGTATATAGAATAAATTATTAATAATAGTATAACAACAAGTTTTAGAATGAAAGTTCAGTATTTCGATTTGAACCCTTTTCATTAACGCACCTTGAAGTTGAATGCATACAAATAATAAACAAATCCTGCTCCCTCACTAGCCAGATAGAGAAAAGGCAAAACTGAACTATGTACCATAGCAATAATCAAACATCAACTCCATTGTTTGCCACAGTGACTAGATGTGTGTAAAGCTGCAATGCTTTTTCCCAATTTGATGGTTTAATGAAGTCCGTTTGCGATCTTGCATATTCAAAGTATTCCTGATACATGTTGCTTTCTGGCTCCTCGCAAAATTCCTGCATGTCATTTATCTGCTCAATCGAAACATTTTGTAAGAATTCACTACCGCCATGATTGACAGGAAGATGATATAGCTCATCGGGGCGGCATGCTACGGTGTCAAATCTCGATCTTCTCACATAGTGACTATTCCAGTGGTCCTTCACTTCGTCAAAATCATGTTGGAGTAGATCAGAAAAACAATACCACAGACATTCCATTTGTAATTCATTCGATGTGTCAATATTACCAATTTCGACCTGGTCTTTGAAAAAATTTATCCACCATGATGATCTGTTGCGACGTAGAAAAGACCACCAATTTTCTATTCTTTGATTTGAATGGGAGGAGCCATAGTTGTGGGCATTTATACCAGCAAATTGATCATGAGCTCCGGAACGGAAGTAACACTGCATGGTGGCCATAGTACCATTCTCGGTACCACAGTCTGTTCTAAGCAAAATCGGACAACCAGTAACAGAGCGCACACATTCCAAATAGAAGCCTGCAGTCACAGCAGGATCATTATTCGTTCTGCAAACCTTTAACCATAAAATTCGTCGGCTGAAGCCATCAATACAGCCATGAACTGGAAAGCCGTAAGGCTTGAGCTTGTATCCGTCAACGTGCCACGCAAAGTTCGGACCGGGATTGATGTAATGGCGTTTTAAGCGATGTGAGCGCCGGTCATCTGATCCCTCTGGATCCAGCGCCCGAAGGATGCGCTGCACCATGCTTCTCGGTGCTTGAATGTCATATTTCAAACGAAGCGAATCGATAACCACGTAAGCAACCTGGGCCATTCAGTTCCTCTCGTATTGCCGCGGTAACTTCTTCCTCGTCAGCATCAACATTTCGCCTTTTTAAACCCATGCTTTGCAACCTGCTTTTCAATGTTCGTAGAGACATTTCAATATTATGGAACTTCCTTAAAAATGACAAGATAGCCGAGTACTCGAAACCTCTCATAAAGTAATGTGCGATAATATCCATCTCGGTCAACATATTTCCACAGTTTGGACAGAATTGAAAAGTATCAGATACATCTGATCCGCAATTTTGGCACTTGAAGTTCATTATTTGCCGTTAATTCAAAGCTTTTTTCAACATTCTTATTTGTTAAATCGACTTTCCATGGCTTTAAATTTAATCTTTCTTTGCATTGTGATAACAGTAAGATGGCGGAGTAAAATAAAAACATCAGTGGCGGTCAGATTGGCTGGTCATGCCACTTTCCCGCGCTTTCCCGTGAAAGTTGTGCATCGTGAATTGAGTTTTCTGTAGTGGAATAGAGTTTTGTGTAGTGGAATTGAGTTTTGTGTGTCGTGAATTGAGTTTTGTGTAGTGGAATTTTGTTTTGTGTATCGTGAATTGAGTTTTGTGTAGTGGAATCGAGTTTTGTGTAGTGGAATTTTGTTTCGTGTAGTGGAATTTTGTTTTGTGTAGTGAAATTGAGTTTTGCGTTGTGGAATTGAGTTTTGTGTATCGTGAATTTTGTTTGTGTAGTGGAATTTTGTTTTGTGTACTGGGATTTTGTTTTGTGCATTGCACTTGTGGGCCACTGTATTAAAAGGAGTGTAAAATCCAAAATAAAAGCCAATCCCCGGAAATCCAGTTTTTCAGTAATAAAATTGAAAACAAATTTGGATGTGATTTGTCGATTTTTAGTCATTGCAGGCATTGAATATATGCAAAATATAGTTAAAAATGTTAGTAAAAATGTTAGTAATGTTTTTAAATTAATCATGTCACGAAATGCGATTGTCTCAAAATAGAATCAATGACAATGACAAAAGGCTCAAAATAGCAAATTAACAAAAATCGATATGCACATGTTTTGTCATTACTAATACTAGTAATAGACGATTGTCAATACCTACAACACAATTCACAAAACAACATTTCAGTGTTCTGCTTTTCACAAACAACGCACAGAACTATGAAACTATAAGCATGCATGCAATAAAAATACCAAATACATGTCATATAGTATAGAAGCATTGCAAACAATTTATTCAATCCATTAATTATCACGAGCTAGATATATTTAGTGGGAAAATTTGGCGGGAAAATTTACAGTTCACTTTGCAGTTTGGTTTACCAAAGTAATAGACATTCTTCCGATAATTTGGCATAAAGAGGCATTCTCATTTTTCTGATGGAACTATCAGCTAGGTGAGTTAAATATTTGACTAAAATATTCAAACTTTTAATAAAACTGTTTAATATGGCGAAAATGTTTAGATAACAATGCATTTCTGCAGTTCTGGTTGCGAGCGACGCCATTCACTGCATATGCCATTATTAAGTTATGTTTAGTAAAGCTATCGTAGATTCAAGTTTTGTTATTATTCTAGCGTAGGTCAAAATATTTCAAATATTCTATAGTAGAATTCCGACATAAGACACAAAGACAGAAACAATAACGGATCAAGACAAAACGCCCTGTTCATATCCGCATGTTTTGTCAATGAACAATACCTACAACACAAAACATTTCAGACTCAGTGTTCTGTTTTTTCACAAACAACCGATGAGTTATCGACTCTAAGAAGAGTATATATAAGGTTGGAAATTTTCATTCAGTATCATTCTGTACAACCCAGCAGTTGCGAAAACAATCCTCTGGCACTCTGCTCTGTCACCGTCAAGTTACTTACAAGAAAACCAAAGTCACAGTATCAAAATGCTTCCCCGACTGACTAAACATTTAAAGTATGCAGTGGTATATTTTCCTGTAGATGATTCTGTCTCGCGAATCGCGACAAAAGATGTTGTCATGGTCGAAGGTGGCGGAGAAATGAAGGAAAAATTGAAAGTTTTTGTCCTGGTCAAACGTGAGAGATATCTGGTGTACATCTTACATCTTTCCGGTAAGTATATTAACAGAAATGAAGATTCATGAATGCAATACTTTATAGCTTGGTAAAATTAGAAAGAATTTCAACTTGGCCATCCAGGTAATTTATAAACAATTGAGCAACACTGCCGGGATTTTAACACTCGTGAATTATTAAAAACCCTGCATACCCCGGTGGTCGGGGTTTCAATTGACTAGTGCATAACATTGACAATTTATATAATATATATTTCTAATTTTATTTATACTATAGATGATTATTCTTCCGTGAATCAAGCCGAGGAGAAATTCTTAAGGTTGACGAAGGAAGAGTTGCCCCATGAACTCCTGATAGAAATGGACAAGTCAGACGATGAAAACGCCAAATCCATCCCACCAGAGGCAAAAAGACTGAAGTTGTCGAATGCTGCAGAAAAAAGGCAACGGGCAAAGCCAAACAAGAGAAAGAAAAGTATATCCATGGACGACGTTAACAAAGAAAACATGTTACCAAAAATGAAAAAGGCAAAGAAAGCAGAGAAGCCGAAACACAAACAAAAGGTATATATACACACAGTATGACATATTATGTATGTTATAAACAGTATATATATTATAAGCAGTATATACGTGCAATAATATATACTATAAAAGTTTATAGTCAGCAAGACACATTAGATATCACCAAAACAAAATTCAACGTTATACAACCTAATCACGTCTTTATCAGTAAAATTTGGGCCGTTTCAAAGGTCACATTTCGTATGTGTCGAATTCAATTCTGCTTGGGTAGGGCTCGCGAAAAAAGTCTGGAACGAGGTAACAAAAGAGACAGCATGTAGTGTTATTGAAAAGTCATTGCCTTGTCACATGTTTTGGGTAATAATCCTATGTCCTATAATACATATATTTTTAGTGCTTTAAATAAGACGAGCCACAGCTTATTTCGCTGGTATAGTGTAAAATGGCCCTATGCTGACTTACTGTGAATTTGATTGAATATGCTGAATTGTATTCGGCACATGCAAAATTCGACGTTTGAACCTGGCCTTAAACTTTGTCTTTGACCTCTTTTTTGTAACTTATACGTTAATAGAATCCTGCAGTTCTGGTTAAAACCGGTAATGGAAACTGGCGAGGTGGCTGATACAGATTCGGAGCTTTCCATCAAATCATCCGAATATTGTTCAGAACCAGACAGCGATGACGAACGAATCCAACCAGTTACGGTCATCAATACGGATGAAGACGAATCAACAAGTAGCCTACCGCGGGAGGAGTTTGACTTCATGGACAACAACCAATCCATAGTTTCTGGTATCCCTCATAGCCCAACAGAAAAGGTTACTTGCTCTACATTGATAGAAACGCCTGATAAGACAGCCAAACCCGTCATTCCAAATTCCAGCATCTGTTCATACCGAGTCAACACAGCCCCAGATCATACAAAAAGACAAAAGCCAAAATTATGAAGAAACTCGATCAAATTCTTGAAAATCAAGTTGTCATTTTATCGCTACTTGAAATTCGCACCCAACCTGATGCTGTTGAGAACCCCACTGGCACTGTCGATGAAATTGCTATGAGACGAAGTCCACCGCCACCACTGCCACAACTTATCCCGATGCCGGCGATGCAAATAAACAATCATCTGAATGATGATGTAAGAAGTGCCACCAATATCAACCCGGTAGTGAACGATGCTATGCTAGCAGAAACACTCAGACTTAAACCAAAAAGTTCAAGTGCTGGAAACTTAGCAGTTATTTATTTATTTATTTATTTATTTAAAAGCTTTACCAAATATGGTAGGGCAACCGCAACAGCTTGAGGCCAATTACAGCGGTCCCAATAATATTACATAGATATCACTATAACTATATGGTATATATACATTATTATAAGATTAATTAAGTATGAGTATAAAAATATCTAGTTAAAAACAGCAGACAACCTCCCTTCGGAGACTACGAGCTGTGTTGCATTTGCAACAAATAGTTTTAAAAGTTCTAGGATCGTCTATATTAAAAGTATTCTTTAAAGCAGTAAAATAGTAAGTTAATACAAATGATTTAAAAACGCTCACACTATCGCTAGAGGTGCTTGTTCTTATATCTTTAGCTAGAAGGTTCCATATGCGAGTGACTCTGATGGTATACGAGTGTTGATATGTAGTAGTTTTACATTTGGGAACATCATATTTTACGATATCAGTGTTCGTTGATCGCGTGCACCTGGTACTACGGAGATGAGGTAAAACAGATTGATTCAAGTTCACCAGGCCGTGGGTTGATTTGTAAAAAAATACAAGGTCTAAATATTCTTGCCAGTAGCATATAGGCAAGAGATTCAGTGACTGTAGCCTTGAACTATAATCTTCACAGCTGCTGAATGGTAGGTTTAAAATATATCTTGAGGCTCTTCGCTGGATTCGTTCGAGTTTTAATATGAGGTCGATGGATTGAGG